AGTTTCCTTGGCTCCAGAAAATGTCTCCTTGGTGATGACTTCTCAAACAACTAAACAACTAAAGAAAACGTAGCAATTCCTACACCCCGTTCCAGGGGGAGGGAGAAAAGACTGGTCAAGAAGGGAAATGTAAAGATCATGGTGTATCACATGCCTTAGTTGGGAATAATATATACATGGTCATGATAATGTAAACGCCAAACATTGACATATCAGAAATTTAGGATATAACCATATTGGGAACTTAAAAGAAAGGGATGTAAAGGTGAGAGGGAGGGTGGGGGTGTAAAGGAGCTAAACCCTCATCCTTTCTGGTAGGATGTCAATAGATGTCATCCAGAACTGGAAAAGAGAAGAAGAAATGGCCAGTATTTGCATACTATTTAGGATATGTTAATATCAGAAAAACACAACCCAAAGCATTGAAGTAATTGCCGCTAGGGTTATGTATTCAGTATAAACTCAGTAAAAACCTTCTACAACGAATGACTTCTAAGATTATACATTGATTTATGTTGACCAAAGTAGAAAATTAAAAAATAAAGTAATACTCCTCAAGAGGAGTGAGGCAAAAAGCTAACAGAAATAAAATGAAGGCGCTTCTGCTAAACTATCCGACATTCGGTGTTTCTCAAAATGTATTCCCGCAACCACCTGCCCTCAGATGACCTGACGTGCCAGTCTGTAATGGAGATGTATAGACACAGCCCAGACCTACATAATTAGCAGTTCTCAGAGTGGTCCTTGCACTCTACCATTTAAAAAAGTTCCCCTAGACCCACTGCAAAACAAACGGTAGTAAAACAAACAAAAAACCAAAACAAATAATCTATTTAGAGACAGGATCTATGACTCATCAAACACACTATGGCAGACACTGCTGGCTGCCTACCCAATGTTCATTCTCTCCCCTGCCTTATTAACAAAATTCCTATTTTGTTATTATTATTATTTTTTGAGACGGTTTTTGCTCTTGTTGCCCAGGCTGGAGTGCAAGTGGCATGATCTCGGCTCACTGCAACCTCTGCCTCCTGGGTTCAAGCGATTCTCCTGCTTAGCCTCCTGAGTAGCTGGGACTATAGGCGCCTGCCAGCACGCCCGGCTGATTTTTTGTATTTTTAGTAGAGATGGGGTTTCACCAGGTTGGCCAGGCTGGTCTTGAACTCCTGACCTCAGGTGATCTACCTGCCTTGACCTCCCAAAGTGCTGGATTTACAGGTGTGAGCCACTGTGCCCGGCCCAAAATTCTTATTTTGATGTATTGGCAACGTGTCCATCTAAAACACTAGATTCTCTCAATTTCCCTTACCGTTAACAGTGTGTATGTGACATGGTTCTAACCAATGACATGTAAGAAGTCTTTTGGGGTGGGCTACCAGAAAAGCTGTTATTATTATTATTTATTATAAAGAAGGACAGGCCAGGCGTGGTGGCTCACACCTGTAATCCCAGCACTTTGGCAGGCTGAGGGGGCAGATCACGAGGTCAAGAGTTCAAGACCAGCCTGATCAACATGGTGAAACCCCCATCTCTACTAAAAATACAAAACTTAGCTGGGCATGGTGGCACACGTCTGTAATCACAGCTACTCGGAGGTTGAGGCAGAAGAATCACTTGAACCTGGGAAGCGGAGGTTTTAGTGAGCCGAGATCGTGCCATTGAGTGAGACTCCGTCTTGAAAGAAAGAAAGAGACAGAGACAGAGAGAGAGAGAGAAAGAGAGAGAGAAAGAAAAGAAAAGAAAACAGAAAAGACAAGACAAGACTCTACTGGCACATGCCTCTGCCCGTCTTTGTGCTGCAACTTGGGGAAGTGGGGATGAAAGCACCATGCTAAGGAGGGTGGTGCAGGAAGACAGAAGGAAGCTGTCTCAGATGACGTTCACATCGGAACCCCTTTCCCAGCCCCAGCCTTCTCACCTCCAGACTTCTCGTTCTCTGAGAAAAACAAACTCCTTACTTGTTTAAGCTGCTGTAGCAGGGTTTTCTGTTCTTGTACCTGAATGAACTTCTAATGACATGTCACACTTTTTCAGATGTTTATCTGACATATTTATCTGACCACGTTTTATGTATGCCTGCTAAGGGCACTGTGCTAGGAATAAGACAAGTAAAGCTCTGTGTCTTTAGCCACTATAATAACGGCTACAGTTGGAAGGTCCATAGGCATTTGAGGGAGGTTATGTTTGCCGTCACAGACCTCAAACCAAAAAAGTACATCGAAGTCAGTCACTGGATTTATACATTTGGCAAATTCTCAAGGGACCACATGACAGAAGGAGCAATAATCTGAACATTGTTTGTAGCTCTAATTCTTCAATGAAGTAGATTTGGGGAAGCAACATGAGGTACTTGCTTTATTTTTCTTGAATCCAATTTTCTTCTTGAAAAACCACAAGATTGGACTTGACAATCTTTAAGATTATACCCAGCTCTAAGATATTTTTGTAATTATATGGAACAAAGCTGGGCATGAGATATACCAAACAAGAGAGTTTCTAAGTTTAGATTCTAACAATTCAAGTCAGAAAACATATTAAGTGTTCAAGAAAAACAAATCACATCTTCCATCACAAAATTCAACAAGAACAACGAAAACCACTCCAGAGGCAGCTGTGGCATTCTGGAAGGAATGCTGGTTTAAGTTCTGGCTCTGCCATTGAATTACTGACGAACCCTGGACCACATACACAATATCTCTGTTTCCATCTCCTTGTTTTTGAAATGCGGATTCTTATCTTCCCTGAACAGTGCTGTTTACAAACATCACTTTGTGCTCTGTAAAGCCTCATTATGATTTCAACAACCAGCAAGATAATGGCTTAGGATATCTAAGTCCTGGCAAGGAGAACGCGGGTGTGTACCTTGCTATATTCAGTTGAACTCTGCATCACATACAGGAGGCTGATACACCTTTTGACTTTCCTTTTTCCTCCAGTGGTGTAGCTTGTGGCCATTTAATTTTTACACAAGAGAACAGAAAAGAGAGACAAAATTCGCTAAAATTCGAATAGTCTCTTTGTGTTTGTTTCTAGCCTCAGTGAAGGTTTCGAGGAGAGGGCTGGCTGGTTAAAAGGGTAGAAGCTTAAGAGTTCAAAGAAAGTGTGAGGAGAACAGCACTCACCTGTGGCCTCTAATTGTTCATATTCAGTGTGGTCTCACACTGGGAATAATCTAGTGTTTGTCTTATGACCTGTCTATAGAAACAAATATGGAATGTGTCTATAATATATAATAGCCATTAGTTGATGACACACTAGTGACTTCAATTCTATTACAATAAAAAGTTTTGTAATAGCAAGGACTTTGACTAGGGGAGTGACTCTATGTGTGGTGAAACTGTCCTCACCCATTTTACATTTGAGGAAAAGAGATAATCTTTTGATTACACCCAACACAGGTCACATCTGTACTTTGAACAGTTAAGTATGGCAGCTGATGTTTAACTGAAGGTACGGGGGAGATGAGAAACAGGAATAACTGGTGCCAAATGTGAGATTCAATAGCTTTGCCTCGGCCATCACAACCAACACCGACCAGAAGGGTGTGGGAGGAACTCATGGAATAAATGGGAACAGGTGTGGCCTGAGGATAAGTAAGTTGGGACACTGTTTCCATCTTCATGAAGATGTGAGAGGAAATCAAAGCTCTCTAAAAAGAAGGAAATGGAATGCTTGGCTCCTGTAATATCATAACAAATAATGCACAGCCAGAGGTCATGCCTCACCTTCTGCTTATCTCAGGCACCTCCGCTTGTAAAATCAGTGGGCCATATGCAATAAAACCTTCGTATCAGTTCCATATCTTTTCCATATCTTTTCCCAGAAACCCCAGGAACAGAGGGAGCCAATATCCTTATTAAATCAAGAAGCTCACAGTCACGAAGAGCTAAGTGTGACGCTACTGGGCCCCTACCTAACCATGTGTCCCGATTCTTTCCATAACTTCCCACTGCACAACATCCAGGTTACACTGAAGATATTACACATCCGGTTAAAAACAGTACACGTTTCTCATGAACAATAAGCCATCCTTCCTATTACAATGAGTGTAAAATTGCAGGTAAAATGCTGTAGGCAGGTCTGTTCGGAAGGCTATGCGACCCTAGGAGACAAAAAGGCGCGGGAGGAGAAAGCGGCAGAGAACGTGAAAGAAGTGGCCATTTCTGCAACTTTTAGGAGAGCTACCTGCCCTCAAATTTTGAAAGGGTTTCTATTTCTTAAAGTGCTAGCTTTCCCTGGCTGAAACTCACATCTTTCTTCCCTCTAGGACTGGATCAAAGTTTCAGAGGTTGTTTCTCTGGCCCTAGACAGAGCCACCCCCGCAAATTTCTCCCCCCACTGCACCTGACATCCGCTTCTATCCCTGGTTCCATTAGCGGAAGCTAAGCGCTGGCTCGAGGGACTTTATCCACCGCCGCGTTATTAGATTCCAGGCTTCCTGGCCTCAGGAAAGGATCTGGCTCGTGTATTTGTGTATCGCAGCTAACAAGGAAAGGCAGTTGGGGTACCAGTGCCCAGAGCTATGTGAGCTGTGACTGGACACAGCCCAGGGGCCAGATGGCATCCCCAGAGGCGCGCGTCCCCGGACTCACGGGGCAGACGGAGGTCGGGGGCTTCACACCTTCCCCTCACCCGGCAACGCGGCAGACCTGACTCGCGAGGGACCGAGGAATATTCATTCCAGGGCCGCGGCCAGCCGGACAGAGGCACTTGGGGGCGGTGAGAGTAGTGTGCGCACCAGTTCTGAAGCCCGGAGGGGGCCCCAGGTGGGCTTCCGCGACACCAGGGCCCTCCATCCCCTCCCGTCCTCCCCTAGCGGAGCCTCCAACCCTGTCCCAGAACCCCTCCCAGTCCGTAGCCCCTCCCTGTCCGCGTCCCCTCCCCCGCAGGTCCCCTGCGAGTCGGAACCCCCACTCCATCACAGCCCCGCTCCTTGGCGGGGCCCTCTCCCTTCGAGCCCTCCTCCAGGTTCCAGCCCCCTGCGGGTACGGACGTCTGACCTGTGCCCAGCGCCTCGCAGCCGTCTGCAGCCCGCGCCGCACGCCAAGTGCGTCCGCCCAGAAGCAGGTGCAGCTCCAGGCCCGCCCCGCCCCGCTGCGCCCCGCCCCGCTCCACTCCTCCAGGCCTGGCAGCAGCCAGCCGCTTTCCACCCTTGACCGCCCTTCCCGGTCCCGGCCAGCGTGCGGGGCCTCTGTCGTCAGGTCCGCACTTCCTCCAGGCCCTTGACTTTCCCCTGGAGATGTCTCTGGCCCCAGGAACTCCCTAAGCTGTGTGCTTCAGGAGGGGCTGGTTCCTGAGTCACCCAGGAGGACTGCAACCAACCGTGACCTCCTGGGATGCAAAGAGATCGCAGGGCCTGGGAGGCGGTGAGGATCCCGAGCAGAGGCTGTGGCTCTGAAGAGTGTTTGTTACCAAGCCAGGCAACTACTACGAGCACACTGGAGAAACAGCCACAGATCACCGTCTAGCAAAGGAAGAAGGTGCCAACCGTCCATCAGGGTCCACAACCCAGTTTTCCTAGTTTAAGTTTGGTGGCTAACTTTGAGTGTCACTTCATTCATTCATTCATTCTTTCATTCGTTCAGCAAATCTGCCATGTTCCCATCTGATAGCAGATCTGACAGGTGGGCACAGTTCTAGGTGCCGATTAAGAAGGAGACAAAGTTCCTGTCCCGGAGAACGGGGCTTCCTGCTGAGGAGGCATGACTTTCTTTGTGGTATTGTGCTGTCGCAGCAGCATCCTCTTGTATAAGCTACTGAGAGGTGAAGCTGGCTGGGCTTCTGGGTAGGATGGGGACTTGGAGAACTTTTCTGTTTAGCTAAAGGATTGTAAACACACCAATCAGCACTCTGTGTCTAGCTAAAGGTTTGTAAACACACCAGTCAGCATTCTGTAAAAATGCACTAATCAGTGCTCTGTGTCTAGCTAATCCAGTGGGGACCTGGAGAACTTTTCTGTCTAGCTAAAGGATTGTAAATGCACCAATGAGCGCTCTGTGTCTAGCTAGAGGTTTGTAAACACACCAATCAGCACTCTGTAAAAATGGACCAATCAGCACTCTGTAAAAATGGACCAATCAGCACTCTGTAAAATGGACCAACCAGCACTCTGTAAAATAGACCAATCAGCGCTCTGTAAAATAGACCACCAAGATGTGGGCGGGGCCAAATAAGGGAATAAAAGCTGGCCGCGCGCGCCAACAGTGGCAAGCTGCTCGAGTCCTGTTACATGTTATGGAGGCTTTGTTACTTGCTCTTCGCAATAAATCTTACTACTGCTAACTTTTGGGTTTGCGTTACGTTTATGAGCTGTAAAACTCACCGGGAAGGTCTGCTGCTTCACTCTTGAAGCCAGCACCAGCGAAACCACGAACCCGCCGGCAAGAACAAATCTGGAAGCGCCACCTTTAAGAGCTCTGACACTCACTGCGAAAGTCTGCGCCTTCACTACTGAAGTCAGCGAAACCATCAACCCCCAGGGAAGAACAAACAACTTCGGACACACCATCTTTAAGAGCTCTAAGACTCACTGCAAAGGTCTGTGACTTCAGCCCTGCAGTCGGCAAGGCCGTGAACCCACTGGGAGGAACGAACAACTCCGGATGCCAACTTTAAGAGCTGTAACACTGGCTGCGAAGGTTTGCGGCTTCACTCCTGAAGTCATGCAAGACCATGAACCCACCAGAAGGAAGAAACTCCGGACACACCATTGTGAAGAACTGTAACACTCATCGCGAGGGTCCGCAGCTTCGTTCTTGAAAGCCAGACCAAGAACTCCCCGGAAGGAACCAATTCCGGACACACTAGGAGGTTGGTCTCGTGGAGTGGTTCTGCACCCTGTGTGTGTGTTGCCCATCAACCCTGTGCACAATATTAAAATTACGCAAGCGGTAAGTCCCCTTCTCAGACCTACTGTTAAGAATCCAGGGCTGATGCACCTATTAAAAACTGCTCAGGAGGCCTGGGGAAGTCGGGATTGAGAACCACGGGTCTAGATCTCTAAGATGCCTGACAGCTTGCTTATTCCACTATTGAGGGCACTGGCAATCAGGAACGGCTTCATGGCAGAGGTGTTTGTATTTTAAAGCAGGGCCACAGATACACATTAGCAGTGCAGAAGGACACAGGATCCAACGGGCAAGCCTCTTGACCAAATGGCTCTCCCTTCCTGTAAAGTGAAAGAAAATCACTGTGAAGGATAAGGCGTTTACTGGAGCAGGTCTTTCCCTGGTAAAAAAGAGTGAATGGGATCTCTTGGGAGGTGGTAATGGCCAAGAGGTAGTGCCATCAGTTAAAAGGATAATGGAGTCATGCACCTTGGAGGATGTGCGGCACGCAGGCAGGAGCTGGGAGGGAATCTTTTAAATTTGCCATCAGCTCAGGAAGTTAATCACACGTATCCTAGCACTTGTTCACACCCATTGTTTTAGAAATCGTTGATAGAGTGGAGTCCTGGATGCCTGCCCTGGGAGAGGCTGTCCTCTGTCACCAGGTCCCTTTTATGGACAGGTATGTTCTTTAGTAATATTTATTTTGCTTATGATGATGAAACAAAGGTGTGACCTCTTAATTGTATAGTTACTGGTGGGTAGAGATGCTTTTTTCTTTCCTTTCCTTTTTCTTTTTTTTTTTTGAGACGGAGTTTTGCCTTTGTTGCCCAGGCTGGAGTGCAATGGTGCAATCTCGGCTCACCACAATCTCGGCCTCCTGGGTTCAAGCAATTCTTCTGCCTCAGCCTCCTGAGTAGCTGGCATGACAGGCATGCGCCACCACGCCCTGCTAATTTTGTATTTTTAGTAGACTCGGGGTTTCTCCATGTTTGTCAGACTGGTCTTGAACTCCTGACCTCAGGTGATCTGCCCACCTCGGCCTCCTAAAGTGCCGGGATTACAGGTGTGAGCCACCTCGCCCGGCTGAGATGCTTCTTAATATTAAAAAGTCTAAACAAAGAAAATTCTGCCTCAAATTATAATAACCAGGTGCCAGGACAAAACCAGTTTTTAATTGTGTGTGTGTGTGTGTGTGTTTGAGACAGGGTCTCACTTTGTTGCCCAGGATGAAGTTCAGTGGTGCAATCATAGGTCACTGCAGCCTTGACTTCCCAAGCTCAAGAGATACTCCTGCCACAGCTTCCTAAGTAGCTGGGACTATAGGTGTGCATCAACATGCATGGCTAATGTTTACATTTTAAAAAATTTCAATAGTTTTTGGGGAACAGGTCATTTTTTGTTATATGGGTAAGTTTTTCAGTGGTGATTTCTGAGATTTTTGTGTACTCATCACCTGAGCAGTGTACACTGTACCCAATGTGTAGTTTTTTATCCCTCATCCTCCTTCCTCTTTTCCCTGAGTCCCCAAAGTCCATTTTATCTTTTTCTTTCTTTCTTTTTTTTTTTTTTTGAGACAGTCTTGCTCTGTTGCCCTGGCTGGAGTTCAGTGGTGCAATCTCGGCTTACTGCAACTTCCCTCTCCCAGGTTCAAGCCATTCTCCTGCCTCAGGCTCCCGAGTAACTGGGACTACAGGCGCGTGCCACAACGGCTAATTTTTTGTATTTTTAGTAGAAATGGGGTTTCATTATGTTAACCAGGATGGTCTCAATCTTCTGACTTCGTGATCTGCCTGCCTCAGCCTCCCAAAGTGCTGGGGTTACAGGTGTGGGCCACCATGCCTGGCCCATTATATCATTCTTATCCCTTTGCATCCTCATAGCTTAGCTTCCCCTATAAGTGAGAACATACGATGTTTGGTTTTCCATTCCTGAGTTACTTCACTTGGAATAATGGTCTCCAATTCCATACAAATTGCTGCAAATGCCGTTACTTCATTCCTTTTTATGGCTGAGTAATATTCCATGGTGTAAATATATCACATTTTCTTTATCCACTTGTTGGTCAAGGGGCATTTAGGCAGGTTCCGTATTTTTGCAATTGTGAATTCTGCTCCTATAAACATGCAGATGCAAGTGGCTCATATAATGACTTCTTTTCCTCTGGGTAGATACTCAACAGTGGGACTACTGGATCAAATGGTAGTTTTACTTTTAGTTCTTTAGGGAGTCTCCATAAAGTTTTCCACAGTGGATGTAGTAGTTTATATTCCCACCATCAGTGTAAAAGTGCCCTTTTCATCACAATCTTGCAAACAGCTACTATTTTTTGACTTTTTAAATTATGGCCAGTCTTGCAGAAGTAAGGTGGTATTTCATTGTGGTTTTAATTTGCATTTCCCTGATAATTAGTGATGTTGAGCATTTTTTTTCCCACGTGTTTGTTAGTCATTTGTATATCTTTTGAGAACTGTCTATTCATGTTCTTTGCCCACTTTTTGATGGGATTGTTTCTTTTTTTCTTGCTGATTTGAGTTCCTTGTAGATTCTGGATATTAGTCCTTTGTAGGATGCATAGTTTGCGAATCTTTTCTCCCATTCGGTGAGGTGTCTGTTTACACTGCTGAGTATTTCTTTCGCTGTGCCGAAGTGTTTAATTAGGTCATATCTATTTTTGCTTTTGTTAGTTTTGCTTTTGGGTTTTTGGTCTTGAAATCTTTGCCTGAGTCAATGTCTAGAAGAGTTTTTTCCAGTGTTATCTTGTAAAGTTTTTATGGTTTCAGGTCTTATGTGTAAGTCTTTGATCCATCTTGAGTTGATGTTTGTATGAGGTGAGAGATGAGGATCCAGTTTCATTCTTCTGTATGTGGCTTGCCAGTTATCCCACCACTATTTGTTGAATAGGGTGCCCCCTCCCCACTTTGTATTTTTGCTTTCTTTGTTGAAGATCAGTTGGTTGTAAGTATTTGGCTTTATTTCTGGGTTCTCTATTCTCTTCCATTGGTCTATGCGCCTATTTTTATATTGGTAACATGCTGTTTTGGTACTGGTTTAAATCTTGCAGGGTAGTTTGAAGTCAGTTAATGTGATGTCTCCAGATTTTTTTTTGTTTTGTTTTGCTTAGTCTTGCTTTGGCTATGTGGGGTCCTTTTTGGTTCCATATGAATTTTAGAATTTTTTTTTTTTTTTCGAGTTCTGTGAAGAATGATGGTACTTTGATAGGAATTGCACTGAATATGTAGATTGC